TGTAAAAATAGAAACAAATTTTTCATTAATTATATATATACATAAATATATAAAAAAAGATTTTGTAGCCAAATTATCTAATACGTAAACATATTTTAATATTTACACATATTTTTAATCTGCCTAAAGTATAAATTAGATTTAAATCGCTTTGCTGTATGAATATATTAATATTCATGATTCTAACAATATAAAAAAATTTATTTTAATAAGCCAAAGTTTAATAATAGTCAAAAGAAATATATTTACTTTATATATAAAAAAAAATATATGCGTCTTTACAAAAACTACACAATCTATACAATAAATTTTATAATCGTAATATTATTTGAATATTCATTACGTCATTTCAAACAAGAAATGATGGCTGTACTGTATTATAAATAATTAATGAAGTCATTATTGAATTTTCAGTTTTAATTGAAGTGTTTATGACTATGAATTATACTATCACTACTGTTTCCTTTTCTATTTAAAAATAAATTATAATACTTAATATTACAACAGAAATTTAATGTAATGGCTAATTTTACATTTAATTTAGAAATCCAATATAGCAACGCTGATATAATTATAGTGTTTACTTAATAATGTATTATGAATAAATTTAAATAAATCATATTAGTCTATCATATAAATCATATTATATTAGTGTAAGATTTCATAATTTTCATGATATAATTTTTATATTACTATTTAGTAAATAGTAACTTGATAAAGTCCATTCGTTCTTTGTTGTAAGCCCCCAATTAATTTTTAATGTGACTTAAAAAAATGTGTAATTAAGTTGATTCATGATATGCAACAATTAGTTCTTAAATTATTTATTTGTATCATAATTATTTATAACTTTGTAAAAGATGAAAAACCGTTAAAATTCAAAATTAAGTAATTGATTTGTTTATTTATCTATTTCTTATTTAAATATCATAGGTTGACATTAAAAGATATGTAATCATAGAAATTTCAACTATGATCATTTTTAAGTTATAATTTATAGTTATGTTGGTAATTTTTATCTTAAAAAAGTGCATATATGTATGTGTTTGTGTGTGTGCACGCGAGCGCGCGTAAGTATATTACAGTTGACCTTAAGGTTTATTACTTTTTCTGTTGATGAGGAAATATTTAAAGTTATGAGCTAAGACTGTCGCATTGTCCTTGGATATTTCATATATGCTTATTTAGAGTAAGTTATCGATTACTTTTCTATTAAGGAATAGTTAAATATGTTATAATTAATGTAATACGATAGTAGTATTAAAATTAAAATCCGACATTTTCAATAAACTTAAGTTTAACCAATCCGAACTCGAAAATTCATGTAAATGAAAATATTAAAATATTGGGGAATAGATCTCGAATCATAGTCTCTCTCTTAAGAGCGTCTCTTCAGAATCGGTGAGAGTTGCTCGACACACCGATTTAATAATGATCTTAATATTTATCGAAATCATGTATAAATTATGTATATTTTCTTCTTAAACCTGTAAAAAGCAATATTAAAAAAATTCAGTTGTTCGATCAAAGCGCAAGTATATGTACTTAATTATATAATTATGTGTACATGAATGTGCCTAGATGTAGTTTGTATATGTCTCCAATGGAAGTATTACATGAGATAAATTTTGAATTATTCCAAGTTAGTAGCTTTGGCTTTATCAGAATATAAAATAAAATGTTCTGCAGAAAATTTAATTAAATGTTTTATTAGTAACAATAATAACAACAACAACAACAATAATAATAATAATAATAATAATAATAATAATAATAATAATAATAATAATGATAATGATAATGATAATAGTAATTATAATAGTAATGATAATTATAATAGTAATTATAATAGTAATGATAATTATAATAATAATAATAATAATAATAATAATAATAATAATAATAATAATAATAATAATAATAATAAGAATAATAATAACAGTTAATTTTAAAAACATGATTTACATAAAATTAGCTTCATGTGTTATGCAGAATTCACTTTTATTATGTAATTCGACCTATGTTACGACGTCATATATCTAACACAACGATTAAGGTATTTTAATGGCGTAAAGTGTGCTTGTACGAAGAACAAAAGAAGTAAAGAAGATGGAAGGGAAAAAAATTATGAAAAAAATCATTTTAAAAGCATGTTGCAGACACTGGGCGTTCATTCTTCTTCGTAAGCATTCATAGGCTGTGGCAGAAGTAACAAAGAAAGTAGCTACGAGCGTAAAACAGACGAAAGGGCCATCGGAATTTCCTTTTATATATGATAATGTGGCTTTTCTTTAGGAGGCGATGAGCTGGTTAAAATGCTGGAATGTTATCAGAATATAATGGTCCTCTGGAGTGGTTAGAATTAATTTTCCGAGAATGGGTGTATTATAGATAAGGCCTAAGGTATCAGAAAAGGCGTGTAAAAAGAAAATGAATTTCAACAATATATATCCAGAATAAGTTTATTCGATTGCAAATTATAATACAATTAAATTTATATCTACATATATTTATAGTTATTAATTTCCCCTCTTTTTGTTTGATTTTATAAATTTACACCGAAAAATATAACAGATTTATTTCTCCTGATTGATAAATACTGGCATTGATATAATGGAACATTTATTACATAACCAACAAATGAATATTAGCAACAGTTATTAATTTAATTGCTAAATTCTTTATTAAATATAATAAATTGGATGCAGTAACAGTAGCATTTAAATGTCAAGTAATCATTTAATTTACTATAAAATTTGGTGCATAACAACCTAATGTTATAAGCAAAATCATCCATTATATACCAAATCTTATATAATGATGCATTAATATTTTACATGAAACTATTGATATGTATTTTACTTACATTGTTAGTTAAAACATTTGTTTTTAAATTTTATATTTAATATCTGGAATATGTTAGATCAAAGAGTGATGGAGCTAAAATCAATAACAATAGAATTAATTGTTTATTGTTGGCTATGAAGCAATACAGAAACGTCTCGTATTATAACTAAAATTTTATCATTGAATGCATAGAAAAGTGAACGTTAAATCATACTTTTCTTAACTGTATGTCTGGTTGTATTTGAGTTAATTGTCGAAATAATAACTATTATTTAACAAAATACAATGCTCACCTATATTACTTAATGTATATTATAATAGAATTATTTAAATAAATATGTATAAAAGAAAAAGTATACGAGAATATTGTTTTTATTTTAATTTTCATTTATTCGTTTTCTACATTAATTTCTTCAAAAAGAATAATTAATGCTGAAATGCGATAAAACTACATATATATTTTATTAGTTCAAAGAAATTAATTAAACTTCCGAATCGGGATATGTATAATTATACGAACTACGATAATCAATAATGCTATGACTTTTTTTTTAAAGTTTGTATACTATAAATTCTGTAACTTAGACAAGTCTATTATCGGTTATTAAATTAGTTAGTGTTTCATTGACCAGTGATTTTCTTGTATTAAGAAAAGGTGTAAATAATTCGACTGGTAAAGGAAAAATAATCGTTGAATTCTTCTCTGCTGATATATTATTTAGCGTCTGCAAATATCTCAACTGAAAAATAAAAGTAAAAATAATTGTTATTTAAAATTCGTAATATAGTTTGTTATTATGTGATTATATATACAATACATATTTTATTATTTATATTTTAGGCTGCCATTTTCTTCAAAATATTCACTACACTAATCATAATTTTTATGGTAATATTTTTTTTTTCATGCGCAAACTCTTATATGCTGAATACTTCTTTTTTTTATCATATATATATATATATATATATTCATAAAGCTTTTTATATTTAATTATTTAATTTTATATATAATTGTATATTAAGCTTGTGCTATCAACATTATTAATTGTACTATTGTAAGCTGAAGTACCTGAAGAGCCGCGGGACTTGTGGAAATGACATCGCTAGCTTCCTTCAGAGCTCGAGATGCTCTCATCTCTCCCTCAGCGGCGATCACTTTGGCTCGCGCCTCTCGCGCGGCTTCCGCTTCCGCCGCCATGGCACGCTGAAGCTGCACTGGTAATCGAACATCTTTACTATATGATGGACAAATTACATTAATTTTAGTTTAACAAAGCCTGAACACTTTCATAATTACCCGATCTGTTTTATTGTTTTAATAACGGTTATTATAATAATTATTAATAAATAATTCTTCATGTATTTGTAATTGTCAAGTAACAAATAATCGATGTTTCTTGAGTGGATTCAGTAATATTGGCCGGGTTTATTGTATTATATTATTTTTCTTATTCGCTAATAATTGACTTTTAATTAAATATATTTAAGAAGTACGTATATGTAGCACAACTGCTCCAAAGTTACATGCAATTTAAAATTATTTAACAACTCATATTCCTAATTAATACATAATTTAATATACAATCATTATATTTATTATAATAATATTATGATAATAATATGATGATGATAATAATGATAAAAATATTATGGCATCTACATCAATTAAATGATAATTTAATTAATAAGCAGACATCAATGAGAGATACGATATTAAAATGTCGAGATGTATAAAGTATTTAGCCACTAGCGAATAATTTGCTAAATGATCACATGTCCATTATTAGAATTTGAAACAGATCAGGAGTTATGGAAACATTTACATTTCGACGCGTTCAACTTTTACACCCCACGGGTCCGTTGCCTCGTCCAGGGATATCTGCATAGTATGAGATATAGTCTCCCGTTCAGCTAGAATTTCTGCAAGACTCCTGGTACCGAGGACAGTGCGCAATGTACTTGCTGCCAGTAGCCGCGTCGAATGGCTAAGGACCAGCATTTGGGTAAATTATATTACGTACAAAATGAGCAAGTGCTATAATAATTGGCACGTAATAAATAATATAATTTTCCTATTGCGATACAGTGTTTCGTTAAAATTTAATTCTTTCTTGGTTCCAGTGTAATTATTATTTTTTAGTGCATTGTAAGAATAGATCTAGTATCTTGTAAGATAGACTAGACTCGTGTGTATTTACACTATCGAGACTATACTAACCAATATTTATGCAAGGTCAATTAAATACAGATTCGAATAATATTGATGTCGTAGTGTAGCTTTATTCACATTCATTCAGTTTTATATTCATATTCACTATCGAGATATTGTAATACAAAATCTTTTGTTTAAGTACCAATACTTGTGGATAGAGAAAGAAGTTAACTAATTTACGAATAATAATTGTCATTGAAATAGTTTTTCCTTAGCTGCTCAACCAACGTTCGATCAATATAATATTTAAAGATTCAAGAAAATATAAGTTTCATAATTTCCCTACTGCCAATGGTAACATTTATTTTCGTTCTATTAATATAGGTAAACAAAAATTCATCGTTCTGATATGTGTATGTTAATTTATTCTTTAAAAATATTATCGAATACTTTCGGTTTAAGATAAATTACTTTAATTCCTTTAACGCTGATAATAATAATAATAAAGTATGATAAATACGCTTAATTATCAGACCAAAGAATTGAATTATTCAATTGTACCTGTAATTCGCTATCTTGATAACAGCATTTAGGGGCTCCTTAATCCGATAATATACGACTGCATCGACACTGACAGTCACAGAATCCTTAGTGAGAACCTCCTGCGGTGGTACATCGAATGAGACCGTCCGTAAATCAACACGTACGCAATTGTCGATACAAGGTAATACAAAGAATGTGCCTACAAATCATATTTATAATATACAAATTTTCCTACTGCAGTAGATTAAATTTATTCTACAGTATATAAGAAATGGGTATTTTCAATAGACATTTAATATAACAAAAAGAGATATTATACACAATTTCCTGTTAATACGTTTAAATATTGTATATTTCGAAAAATAATGGTTATGGCGGTACATGTGATTAGGTTTAAATGTAATTTATTTTAACGAAAAAAACATAAAATTTTATTCAATTTATAGGTATGAGTGTTACGAAGATAAACGTATGCGCAATTATATGCATATATGCATACAATGATGAAAAGAGACGCAACGGGAGGGTTTGAGAGGTAATAGGGAATAAAAAAGTTAGAATAAGAGAGAGAGAGAGAGAGAGAGAGAGAGAGGAATAAATAAAACGCGAATTTTATTGTAACAGCTTGCATAATAACCACGGAAAACCATAAAGTTATGTTGGTAAATGAAGATAGGAGTACGGCATCCCCGTCGACGAATATATCTTCCGTAATATATCTCAGTGACAAGAGCTGTTTAAAAGAAATTCATATTAACTATATATGTATTTTTACAATTGACAATTATTATAAGAGCTAATTTCCAAAGACAAAAATAAATCCTTAGGCTTATAATAGAAAAGTTCTTTTATTAATACTTGTACCTAAATATCATTAATTTAGTTATAAAATATTGAATTATTAGCATTAACTGTTTAATAAATAGCTTACCCGGTCCTTGAGGTCTACCTTTTAGCCTTCCCATTCGAAAAACAACGGCTCTTTCATATTCTTGAACAACTTTGAATATAACGCACAATGAAAATGGCATAGTGAAAATAATAACTAGAAATGATCCAACTACAGCCAATCCTTCTATGAATTTAGTCATTATTCCTGTTCCTTCGATATCTGAGGTTTCTGAAGCTTCTTTCCATAAATGAAAAATATAAATTATAATCAATATTTGTTCATTATAATTAATTCATATTATTCATATTCACCATATATTTATGCAATGTAGCCACGCGAAATTTATACAAATATACTATATATTATTATTTTTTCTTATTTATTATTGTTTTTTATATTATTATTATATACAATAGTTAAACAAATATTTAAAATCTATTTTCAAAAATTGTACTTCAAAGACTTCTGGTTTCATATTATTTTATGAATTTATAAATATAAAAATTTCGATATTAAGTAATTTATAGATATTCCATGTTATAAATTGAGATATTTTTATATAAAAATATTGTCAATATGTTTAAATTACAATGCATCATTAATTCGATACGTTATGGCATTAAGCAACCGAGCAATAAAATTTATTCAAGAAAGTATATCGATAAATTTAATCGAAAATACGAGCTTTTAAACTTCAATGATACCATACTACAAGGAAATAGTTAACATAACTTGGAAACAAAATTGGTTACATATGATAGAGATTTAAATTGAAATTAAAGTGAACGAAATAGTAAATTCCATACCAAGATATTTCTGACAATAATTTATAATTTAGAGAAGATTAGAAACTATGAATCAACTGATACTATAATAAAACGAAGAAAAAATTCTTTGGTTTTTGATTATTTATGAAAATTATAAAATAACTACGATATGAGTCAAAGCATCTCAGCTCCTCATTTTATATTTTGCAGAAAAACTAAATTAACACAAATTGGAATGAATAGTTAAAGTAATGAATAAATTAGATAGATTTGTAAAAAGTAAAATTTTTTATAAATTTATCTTTACTAATTTTATCTCAAATTGAATAATTCTATAATCTACTGAACATCTTCAATAATTTTGATAATTTCATTGCGAATCATATATCGTTTTATCAACTTTTTTAATGCGAATGTTATTATAAATAATTAAAATATAGACCTCCTTTTAACTTTTGGATTTAGAATTTAAAAGGAATATTTTACATTACCTCCGTAGTATAGGCATGATTATTATGGCGAAATACCAATACCCTAAGTATTTTTATTAAATTTTCTATTAAATTGAAAACATTTCAGTTGCATTTACATGAATTGTCTTACAAGATAATGTATTCTTAACAAAATTTATAGGTTTACGATTATGGACTTTTTCATAATCAATAAATAGTTTACCATCAAATAAATAAGTATGTTTTACAACAATAAAAAACAAAAAAAAAAAAAAAAGAAAAGCAAGCAATTTTAAGCAATAAATAGTTATTAAATATAACATGTTACTTTTATCAAATCAAATTTATTTATATCACATTTATAAAATTAAGAATAATAAAAAATTATTTGAAATATATTATGCGTGTGAAACTTATATTTTAAAATTAATCATTAATTATTTTATCATTGAATTGACAAATTGCAATCAACATAATAAATTCTGAATTAAATTATACAATAAGCATATTTAATTCAAGGTGAGGTAAATCTAATGGCAGTATTATATAAATTAGAATTTATTTAATTAATTTTACCGAATTCAATGAAGCACTCGATTCCACCGCTGTCTCTTTTAGTGCATCCGCAGTTTACCATACTACACTCTAACTTTTTCGAGTTTCCTTCTTGTTGATCCGACATGCAGGTTTATAGGAATTTATATCCACGTGCGCAATCGTGACTCTTGCACTGCAAACTGAACTGTCCCATGGGCCCCACACGATTATTATCCCATTGGACCACTCCGTCTCTCCCATGAAGCATCAGCAACGGCAATTGCGTCAAGCCATATCAACCTCATCATGAAATCTCCTCCAGCACGAAATGTCCTGCTGCCCAAGTGTCCTTCGCGAGATAGACAGTCGTGTGTGACATTCAATATGCACGTACGTTTGTATATGTAAACTTGCAGGTATACAAAATTCTCCTACATACGGTCTATTTGGTTGAACGTAAAAGCTGAAATGAAACGTGTACAATAATTTATAAATTGATTAATTCATATGTTCCAATATTCATTCTGTTAAATGTTTAATTGTCATCATCAAAATTGTCCGACCCCTTCAGTAATTATGATGTCGTGGAACATATCAATACACAAGAATATAATATAATAATAATCTTACATAATCAAAAGAAAACAATTGATTAGTTTTATGCTTAATCTTTATCAAAAAACATTCAATTACATTTCTAAATTAAATGTATCGTGGAATATAGATGTTCATTATTAAAGTAATAAAATATATTATCTTTTATTAATAAGTGGGTGCACCTAAGTGTGCCTGTGTGTGCGTTTGTGTACGTGCTTGCGCGCGCGCGCGATTGTGTCTGTGTATGTAAAATATATTATATATTAATAATATATTAAAAATATACACTTTTTGTCTAATTTTCATAAATAATATATAACAAATATATAATTTACGGCTAATTTTTAGAAAAAAAAAACTTAGATCACTCGAATACTTACATTATGCAGAGATGTGATACTTTGTATCAAACTCTTTTTCACTTAATTATACAGAGAACTTCTCGAACTGTTCAATTAGTGTCTTGTGAAAAATCACTGAAAGATTTCAACTTTTCTCGTGCATTACCGAGTCGTCGCCGTCCAAATGGAATATCTCAACCTGAAAGTTCGTACTATCGCTTGAAACATCCGGCAAGCCGATCCAATTTAGCAACCCAAAGCTTCTGGCGCCGAAAAACCAGAACGATCACTAAGCCGTCTATATTCTTCAGCAAGCAAAATTCTCTCTTCTACTCCTACCACTTTCTCTATGTCTGCTCGCTTCCTTCATCTTTCTTTCTTCCATCTCTTACGTTTCACGCAAGACATTCAGAGAAGTTTTTATTTGCTTCTTTAAAACCTTTTAGTTATTTTTAACTTTTTCTAAATTTGACGAGATAGTGAAGACTATAATTTTAATTATTACTTGTTGAATACATTTAAAAATCAACATGTATTTAACATTTATTTAAAAATCAACATTTACACTACTATGGCCATTTCAATGATTATTTCACTGATGTACATTATTTGCTCGTTAATATTCCATTATTTATATTAATTCTTTTAAATAGTCGTTAGTGATTTTGTAAAAATATCTACTGCCAGTAGCTTTCTATAAATAAATATGTCTTATTCGATTATTGCTATTCTAATTAATTTACTAAAATTAACTAATACGTAATAATTGAATATAAAGAAATTCAATTAATTGATGTTAAACAGTTTGTTAAAATGATTTATATACAAATGAATATAAATATCTACGTAAAAAGTTAATATATTACGTATATATTAGAAAATAAAACTGATATATATATATATATATATATTTTTTTTATGACACTAAAAATATAATAATTTATATTTGCCGAAAATAAATGACTAAATAAATTTTAAAATATTAATAATAATAATATTATTAAAACAACAACACCAATAATAATGATAATTAAAATCTTTCAGTTTATTAGTATTACAATTCTGAATTTTCAAAATGCTCTAATTGTACAAGGTATATGTTCTTAAAATTTATTGCATTTATCATATTCGCAACAGCAGAATATTCGAAATATTCGTACATTGGAAAAAAAGTTAAATCTTTACGTTGTTAGACTTTTTACTTACATCTCATTATTTAAGAATATACATTTTAATTATATTATATGAAATATATGTATTATATATTATATTATACATACTATAATTATATTTACGTATAATCTATTTTATCATCATAGTACTAAAATATGATATTATAACTTTTTTATTAATTGTATGTTACTTGCTTTTACTCATACTTTCTATTTTCTAGCTTTTTATGAAAATTATCGTTTAGTGATAATTCCTTGTACTATCTTCAATTAAAGTGCCATATTTATATATAGTAATAGTACTTGGATTATGCTGTTAAAGTTACTTCTACATTACCGTTTTGCATAAATTTTATATTGCATTTCAAATGTAAATTAGGTAATATAATTGATAGCAAGTTGTAATAATCTAATAGTTAATGAAACTTTAGCTAATGTAATAAATATTTTTTTTTTATTTTTCATACTTTAGTAACTGTAGTAATAACTGGCTATTTAAATGGGTCACTGATCAGTTTTAATTCATTTTGTATTAGACTTTGTAAGTAAAGATTAATTATTATTATATTACCACATACGTAAATAATATTAAAATTAAGCAGGTAAATACTTTACAGTGAAATTGATTATAATTAAATAAATTTAATAAAGGAATGAAATTACTCACTAAAATTGTTATTCGTTAAAATTGGTATGAATTTAGTTTATATTAAGTCGTAATGAAATTGTGAAATATAATCGTTTTGATTCTTGCCTTTTTTATGAATACTATAAAGATTGGAATTCTTTCGATAGATAATCAATAAGTAATCGATATTTATAAATATTGAAAATTGTAATGGTAACTTGAAATTTTTGTAAATTTCATAGTTACAGATTTTTAAAATTTATTAAAAAATATATTAATTATTTTAAATGTCAAATTTTTGAAGCATTATATATAAAATATTTTTATTTTTAATTTTAATTTTCAACTCTTTGTTAATTTTTTCAAATATACTTAGTTCATATTTTTACTAGTCATTTCCAATGAATAATACTAAAAAAAAAAAAAAAGACAACAAAAGATAAATCAGGGATATAAATAAGATAAGATGAATAACAATCGTATCTTTTATGATAATGTATATTAATTTGACCAAAATAACATTATGGAAAGGTTTCATATAACATAAATTTACTGCTTATAAACTGGATAGGACTGATAATCACTTTAAATATAAAATTGAACTCTTAAAAATTCTAAAATATTTGTATTAAATATAAACTGAGTTAAATTTTAATCTACAAATAGTATTAAAACTGTATATATTTTTTATTATAATTTTAAAATGTTCCATCAACTCTTTTATAGACTTACATATTTCTTAAATTATATATATATATATATATATATATATATATTATTGTGTTATTATTGTATTGTATTGTGTTCAAATTATTATTGATTTTCTGACCTAACATTAATTAAAGTGTTCATATCTAAATTTTATAATGTATTGACTTTAAAGGTTATTTTAGGAAAAGTTAAATAATTGTTTTTTTAATACATTCATTATATTTTACTTTTATATTAATAGTTATATTATTTTATAAGTACATTATTTCCTTATATTATTATTAAGAAGTTAATAAAGCAAAATTAATATCTGATATTTAAATTATAGGTTTCCAAATTTTTGTATAAATAAGATAATTTCTCTTCGAATTTATTAAAAAGAATATGTGGAATCGAACATGCTGAGACATTAACAAAGATACACTAAATATCTACTGATAAAATGTATAGGGATCATCGTTACAGTTTCATTCCCCCATCGTTTATTTTGCGCCTCCGTGGCTTTGCATCGTAGTTCGCGCGTTCGATTCCCTATGCGGCCGTCATTTGCCATTTCTGGGCGTCGCACGACCGCAAACCTACGCCGAATTAGCGTCTCTCTGTTTCCCTCTTCTTGTGATTCATAGTTTCTCTGTGTGCCACCCTCCTTGTTTATATATCTACGGATTGGTGTAATTACGTGTACAGTAGACAAGAACAAATGACAACACTATGAGACGTTACTTTTATCGTTAGAGACCCCATTTCTAGTATTTATGTACTTACTGTATGAAATATAAGCATATATTTATAATTTATAAAATTTTCATTTGTTTGTGTGTAATCAAGGTAATCGAGAGATAATCTATACAACTAGTAGAATACATTATTTATTCTATTGTATTATTATTAGTATCACTATAATAAGTATTACTTATTATATATCATGAATTCTTTATAATTATTATTCTTTATAATATTTTTGATAAAATAAGGTTTTTATATTACATACAAATGCCTAATTTCTAAATTCGCATACTTTTATAGATATATTTTGGTAAAAGTCAAATTTTATTTTAAACCAATATATCTGTTTTTAAAGTATAGATATTTTTATGAAATATTGTAATTTCAATTTGTAATAGACATTTGCTTTTCGATAGAAATGGGATTTTTAAGTAATTTTTGTAAATTTATTATTTCAAATTTAGAAGGAACAGTGGTTTTTAAAATGCTTATAAAAAGGAATATATAATACATTAAAATTTTTTAAGTATAATTAAATATTTTATATAGTTGAAGAAAGAAATTGCCGTGACATCGTCTCACTGCAATCGGTAATCCGTTGTACTGACTATATTCAGGGGCAAAAGAATACTTATGCCCAATTACGTAAATACAATGTTTTTGATATTTTTAAGACCTGTTGGCATTTGCGCTAATAAAAAAGATGTGCGACTGTGGATAATTGATTTTAACGAATTTAATTTTAACATTTGTATTGATAATATTCTTGAATAGCTAAATAGAAAATAGTAATAGAAAAGAAGTTAACAATATTCACTTGGTGAGTTTCATTTTTATAGCACATTTTTTGCGACGAAAAATTATGTAAATGATAACAACTTATATTGTCTATCAGCGTAACGAGGTTCTTTTTATACTTAAGCAG